GGTGACAGGGTGCAGGTCAACTGCCCATTGGCACCAGAGTCGCGGTCAGACACACTGATTAGGGCAATGACCGTGCCGAGGGGAGCATCTTCTAATACAGGTAATGATAATGATTTGATAACCAAGTCAGGTACATTATCATTGGTGTCCAAAATTTCCACCAGAACCGTGCAGTGACCTGTCATTGGGGGAGTTCCTTTATCTGTCGCGTCTACCTGGATTTCATATAACTTAGTCTCCTCGAAATCTATATTACCTTTTATACTGATGTATCCACTAACTGGGTCTAAGTGGAATTTCAAAAGAGTATCTGCTGACATGTCTGTATTGAAAGAATATACAATGTCCTTATTTACTCCTTCATCCAAATCAGAGGCGTTAACAATCACTGCTAGGGTACCGTTTGGTGCATTTTCGAATAAACTGACTCTGTAGACAGTCCTCTCAAACTCTGGGGCGTTGTCGTTTACATCTAGAAGGGTGATCTTCACTTGAGTAGTTCCGGTGAGCTCTGGTTTCCCACCATCAACTGCCGTTACTAGTAAGTGATGTTCAGGAATGTCCTCGCGATCTAAAACTTTTCTCAACACGAGTCCAAGGGATTTAATATTATCATCATTTCTTTTAATATCCAAGGTAAAATAATCGTTAGAGTTAAGACTGTAGGTCAACAGAGAATTGGCTCCAATATCTGCATCTGACGCGCCCTCTAGCGGAATCCGAGAACCAGGCGGCCGGGATTCATAAATAAATAATTTTTTTAATGCCACCGGGAAAACCGGCTGGTTGTCGTTAATGTCTTTCACCTCCACCTCCACATGGAAAACCTGCAGCGGCCTGTCCACGATCACCTCCAGGTGGATGCTGCACTCCGCGCTCCGCCCGCACAGCTCCTCCCGATCGATCCGAGAATTCACAAACAAAATGCCATTCTGCAGATTTACCTCTAGAAGGTCCCCGTGGCCTTTGGACGCCACCCGGAACAGGCGTGGCACCAGCTCCGCCAGCTCCAGCCCCAAATCCTGGGCGATGCGACCCACGAAGGTGCCGTGTTTGGCCTCCTCCAGGACTGAGTAATGAACCTGGCCGCTCCCAGTCTCCCAGACTGTGAGGAGCAGAAGCGAAAGCAGTAATCGCCGGGCTCCTGGACCTTCTTCTCTCCGTGAAAACACCCTTGCAAGCCTTTTCCAAATATTGTGACGTTCTGGCCTCGATCCAAACTTCAAAAAAGAATTTGAGTTCCTCATTTTTTTCTTAAATAACCTTACCGTGCCCGTATTTCAGAGAGCAGCATCTGAGTACATAACGCATGCTTCATTTCTTTTGTGGTGAAGTACCTTGCGGTGGACAGCGACATCATGTGGCTAAATGTGTAAGTATTAAATAAATGTACCTACCTTCTCCGTATACTGGCGTCTGATCTTTCCCAAAATTTCTATTTTAGTTGTAATTTCCTTCGAGCACTTTTCAAATTCTTTATATTTATAGAAATATAACCTTATAGCTTTTATACTAATTCATCACTTCCAAATATCCCAATCCATGACATAGTATAATATAGTAGAATGATTAATGTTATAATAGTAGTGGACATCTACTGGAACTATTCCCCACATGACAAGCCTGGGGTTCTAACGGGGTTATCCATTAAATTCTTTTTTTTCCCATTAAATTCTCACAACAACTCTCCGAGGTAGTATTAATACAAGTCACTTTTTACAAACAAGGAAGTGAAAACATACCAGTTAAGTAACTTAAAAATATTAACTGGTGATATTTGGGTGGGATCTCAATCTGATTCAAGACCCCTAACTTTTACCATTTGGCCTTGAAGTCTACATTTTATAGAAAAATCAGGGCCACCTGGGTGATTCAGTTGGTTAAGCATGTGCCTTTGGCCCAGGTCCAGATTCTGCGTTGGGGTCCTAGGATCCAGCCCCAACTCCGGCTCCCTGCTCAGCAGGGAGTCGGCTTCTCCCTCTGCCCCTTCCCCCGCCCAGCTGTCTCTTGCTTTCTCTCTCTCTCTCTCAAATAAATAAATAAAAAAAATAAAATAAAAAAAAAAGAATTCCAGAAAGATGATTAAAAAGAAAAAGAAAAATCAGACCTTTGATATTCATGACCACCAAAACATCAAGACATTGAAAGTATGTGTAGATAGGGGTGCCTGGCTGGCTCAGTTGGCAGAGCATGTGACTCTTAAATCAGGGTCTGAGAGTTGAAGCCCCACGTTGGGTGTGGATCCTACTTAACAACAAAAAAGTATGTGTATATACATATCCATATATACATACATATTTACTTATATATTATTATAGCAATTGTTAATTTAGAAAATTTATTTATGGACTGTCTATAACCCACTTTTATGGCCTTTATCCAATGATTATACCCTTGTTGTCTGTCTTAAGTGTTATTTATATAAAGATGCCAGAAATCAGTTTTTTACAGTGCAGTTCTTTTATAAATTTGTTTTACTATATGACAATACATTCATGACAACAAGTCAGAATATATTTGTTTTTTAAATTTCCACACCATTTATACATTTCAACTTACCTGCATATCCTAAAATGTTCACAATATGAAATAATTCATTAAAGAATTTCTTCAGGAGAAAAATGATCCCAGAAAGAAAAAAAAAACAAATGTAACTGTACAAAACATGATAATAATGTAATCTATGCCTAGAATAAATGTATAACTGGAAGGCATATACCAAACAAAAGTGGAAGCAGACAAATGATTAATTTTTAATGATCTCCACTCTAGATGAATTTCTGGATTCCAGTTTCTTAAAAAGTTGTTACTTGAAAGTATTGGTGACTTAACCAATCAATAAAGAAAAGTAACTTTGGAACATAATTCACCATTCAGTATCTGCAAGATGAGGCAATGTAATATTCTAAAGGTCCCTCTGAATTCAGTGAGAGGTATGAGTTCTCTAAATATTTGAAAGTTGACCAGAGAAAATTCATGGGCAGAGGTTGAATGTAGAGAGGTAAAATGATGTCCAAGGTTTTGCTTATAGTCAGAGCCTCTTGAAATAAAACCAAATACATGATTTAAATATTAGGAGAAAAGTTTTCATGCCAGGTTTTTTTCCCATGCACTCACTGAAAGCATGCCGGGATTGCAACTTACTCGTATTTTATCATTCACATTTAGAATAGAATAAATTGTCAATTAATGTTTTAATGGATAAATGAGTATTTTAAACTTTCTCAAGTATCATAAGAGGTAAGTTACATTAATGATATTTGTTAATATCAAACTTATGCAATTTCTAATTGATTCTATTGTACTAGTTCATGAAGAAGTAAACATTTAAGAATTATTTTGGAAAAGCATGAATCAAGGAAATAATTACAGATATTTGTATGCCAGTTAGTGCTTTGAAGAATCTTGAAAAATAATTATTAGTTTTAAAATGAGATACAGAATTAAAAATTTAAAACATCATGGACTCCATGGGACGCCTGAGTGGCTCAGTCAGTTAAGTGTCTGCCTTTGGCTCAGGTCATGATCCCAGATTCCTGGGATCAAGTCCTGCATCGCTTCTCCCTCTGACTGCTGTTCCCTCTGCTTGTGCTCTCTCTCTCTCTCTGACAAATAAATAAAATCTTTTAAAAAATAAAAATAAATTTAAAAACATCATGGACTCCATATTGATGGAATACCTCTGACAACTTATTATAATACTATACATTTCATGACATTTAAGAGTATACTAATTGCAGGGGTGCCTGGGTGGCTCAGATGGTTAAACGTCTGCCTTTGGCTCAGGTCATGACCCCAGGGTCCTGGGACTGAGCCCTACATCAGGCTCCTGACTCAGCCGGGAGCCTGCTTCTGCCTCTCCCCCTGCTCATGCGCTCTCTCTCTCTCTCTCTGCATCTCAAATGAATAAATAAAATCTTTAAAAAAGAATATACTAATTGCAAAGTAGAATGCTACAGGCAATTTATGACAGAGTAGACTCCATAATGATTATTAGGCAATGAAGGTAATACTAAAGGAACTATGAGTTCATCAGATTGAGCCACTGTGTGGATAAAGTATCAGTGAATAATATCTACTCTCACTTAGACATCTCCTCAGGTAACTTAATTTAAAAGTGTAAATAAGGAATAAGAAACCAATAAGAATTTAAGTGATAAACCGTGACTCCTGGAGATCTGGGTATACCTGGATATATTTTTTTTAAAGATTTTATTTATGTATTTGACAGAGAGAGACACAGCGAGAGAGGGAACACAAGCAGGGAGAGTGGGAGAGGGAGAAGCAGGCTTCCCACTGAGCAGGGAGCCTGATGTGGGGCTCGATCCCAGGACCCTGGGATCATGACCTGAGCCGAAGGCAGACGCTTAACGACTGAGCCACCCAGGCGCCCCATACCTGGATATATTTTTAACAGTGAACCATTTACCTGTAGTACAAACATAGTGGCCAGACTTCTAGTAGGACAGATTTCACCTGACCGTTTATACTTTCTGCATACAAGTCTCAAGAAGGTGGTGAGTAGCTATGACACTCTAGGTAGGATGACTCCTCCCAAGAAAGAGCTTCTTCCTTATTTGCCCAAGTCGCATTTTTCCCTGTAAAGCCTCAGATAAACTTTTCTGGTTCCCAGGAAATATATACTCCCTGAATTTTGAGGCTTATTAACTGTTAGGAGCTAAGAAGTTTACTGTAGAAACAGATTATCCTTAAAAGATTTCCCCACCTAACTTCTCAAGTCCTTTAAAAGCAGATCTTGGATGAAAATGACTATATGGCCTATCTGTTGAATGGCTAAGGCCAGATCACTTAGTGGAAGTTATTTCTACAATTCAATACCCATCCACATACATACAGGGAAAAAATATCAAATAACTAAGAACCAAATAGAAGACAGTTTTAGACAGTTATTTCACACCAAGACATTTTCTTTTGAAGTTTTAAAATTCTTCTCCAAGTGTAACATTTACTTGTCAATTTTATGTTTTAACAACCCAACACAGGAGTTTCCAATTAAAATGCAGTCATTCAATATCAGTCTTCACCTTTTGGGAAAATTCCAACTTCCTTAGTTATATGAATGTTGCCAGGAGAAAGTGAGTGATCTCACACATGTGGAAAATGTTATCCCAGGCATAGAGTATGGTGTCAGAGGCAGGTGGTCATTCTCTGCACAGGGGAAGGCCTGCACACATTAGCCTAATGACACAGATACTGGGAAGGATGACTGAGCAACCTACTAACATAATAACTGCGCTAGAGTACTCACCACTTTTAGAGGGAAAAAAATCCCACCACCTGGCCACCCCACAATGTAATTTTTTAAATGTTAAGATTTTTTTTAAGGTTAAAAGATTTTAGGGTGCCTGGGTGGGTCCATCTGTTGGGTGTCTGACTCTTGATTTCAACTCAGGTCATGATCTCAGGATTGTGAGATCTAACCCCTCATTGGGTTCTGCGCCGGGTGTGGAGCTTTCTTAAGATTCTCTCTCTCTCTCTCCTTCTGCCCCTCCTCACTCCCCTGCTCTCTCTCTCAAAAAAAAAAAAAAAGATATTTTAACAAAATTGAAAGAGGATTCTTTTCTTTTTTTCTAAAGATGTTATTTGTTCGTTTGCTTATTTGAGAGAGAGAGAGAAAGAGAGTGCCTCTGAGTGGGGGAGGAGGAGCAGAGGGAGAGGGACAAGCAGACTCCCCACTGCGGGCAAAACCCCTCCTGGGGCTGGATCCCACTACCCTGAGATCATGACCTGAGCTGAAATCAAGAGTCAGACACCCAACAGATGGAGCCACGGAACAACCAACAACGATTAACCCACTGAGCCACCCAGGTGCCCCAGGGAGGGATTCTTTTCTCAATGAACTCTCTATTGTGCCTTAAAACTCTAAGGATTTTGTAAGTGTGAAGTCTTTATCCCAAATAACAGGTTATTTGACTACTGAAAGACATACCTAATATTAGCAATTATTCCTAAGTGATGTCACTTAGTGATCCTAAGTGATGTATTCTAATGACCTATGATAGGTACTTTCAGAAGTCCTGGCATTAAAAGATCCATTCAGGCTGCTTTCAAAAACAAGGAAAAGAAAACCTAACTTACTACCTGTTGCATAAACAGATAAAGATAAATGAATTCTTGATCGAAAAAAAAAATCTAGAAAACGTCCAGGTAATAATATACTCCTATTCCAAAATATTCTGACAGAATGGATGGATGATGTAAATTGGAAATATGCATTTTGTATATTCACACTCTTTAAATTTTTTCCAATTATGATTTTTCAATTTTGAGAAAAAATATTTACAGGTAATAAGTTTTCAAGTTTAGCTGAAGTGTTTTTCAGTCCTTCAAAGTCCAATTATTCACGAACAGATTTAATTATGAAAAAACAAAATCTGAAAATAAGAAAACCATTTAATTGTTCTCAATGAAGAAATTCACCTCTATTTCATACCATATATTGCACCATAAGATAATGATAAAAAAATAAGGGCAAATGGCAAGATTAACATAACATAATAATAAAAAAATAAGGACAAATCTATAAATCAAAATAATAGAATCATAAATAAAGGAAATAGAACAATTCTAGAATCGACAGGAAAGACTCACCTTTCCTAAGTGTTCTGATTCTGAGGGTTGTTGTCTTTCTTCTGCGGAGTCTGGAACTTGAGGTAGGCTGGGGCTGAAGGCCATGAGGTCGGTCTTGGGCGGGCC